CCCCCCCCCCCCCCTCCCAATTCCCTGCATACCTAAATGTGTGAGAGACTGATGGTAGGAGGCGTCGGCATTGTTGAACCACATCTTGGCCATCATCCATGTCCACAGTGGATCTGTGGGAAGGAACACCTGGAAAGACACACACAAATATTCATAACTTGTAGTTATACACTGTAGCTTCAGACAGATATATTGATACATGTAGTTAATGACATTTTAAGACATTATGACTTCACTTCACTCTAGATCTCATTACTGTCAACTATGATACCATAGGCCCCAGACAATGTGATCTGTGTTAAACATAGGCCCCAGACAATGTGATCTGTGTTAAACATAGTCCCCACACAATGTGCTCTGTGTTAAACATAGGCCCCAGACAATGTGCTCTGTGTTAAACATAGACCCCAGACAATGCGCTCTGTGTTAAACATAGGCCCCAGACAATGTGCTCTGTGTTAAACATAGGGCCCAGACAATGTGCTCTGTGTCAAACATAGGGCCCAGACAATGTGCTCTGTGTCAAACATAGGCCCCAGACAATGTGCTCTGTGTGAAACATAGACCCCAGACAATGTGATCTGTGTTAAACAAAGGCCCCAGACAATGTGATCTGTGTTAAACAAAGGCCCCAGACAATGTGATCTGTGTTAAACATAGTCCCCACACAATGTGCTCTGTGTTAAACATAGGCCCCAGACAATGTGCTCTGTGTCAAACATAGGCCCCAGACAATGTGCTCTGTGTTAAACAAAGGGCTACAACTCTTCAGTAAGCAACACTCCACCAAGAATTCTAGGTGACAGAGTACATAAGACAAAGCTCCATTCAAAGTGACACACGGACAAAATGCAGCAAAGGTATATAGTCACTTCTAGTGGCACCAATGGAGATTAAATCAAAAACACTTGTTTTAAAAGTCCTTATAATAAAAAACTCAATAAGGACTCAATTTCTTTTTGTAACCTTTTTTCTGCCTCAGCAATATTGTTTTATTAGTACAAGCTTCTGATAATTAAATGAATGGTTTAAGACTCTCAGTCTAGCCTCTGTTCCATTTCCAAGACTTTGACCTATCTCAGACACTTTCTGACAGACTTACAGGGTTGTCCTCAGCAGGTTTCTGTTTCAGTTGTATTGCTATGGGTACCAGATGCTGTTCACCATTCAAAAAGAACAGTGCCATGGGTGCACACACCTGTCAAACAAACAAACACATTATTTCATTGGTTCTCCTGTCAGTTCATGTCTTAGTACATTGTTGGAATCATTGGTTCTCCTCGTCAGTTCATGTCTTAGTACATTGTTGGAATGTCTTAGTCATATCTTTTGTTTTCAATTTGTTGAAGGAGAAGGGATATGTATAATGAAGGGCAGGGACAATTGACCCTTAGACTACAGGCCTATTTATAATTGAAATGTCCATAACATTTGACAAATTTTCATATAGATTCAAAGAACATGGGTCCATTGAAATAGTTGAAAACTAGAAAATGACTGTTGGCTTCCTAATCACTGAAAGGGTATAACACTAGATATATCCAGTCAGCTTTACAGTAACATCTAAAACAATCCCACCAGACATCCTCAGTAATATAGCAAGAACATAAAAGGATAATAAATGAGCATGTACATCATCATTATATATGTAACTGGGACCAGCTTACTGTCAGCTCCAACTAAAGATGCAGGATTTAATGGATTAAAGATTACCATAGTAACACAGAGGACAGGACTCACAATCCTAACAATGAATATCTGTATAAGCACTTTTAGGCAAAACCTATCAAAGTCATGTAATAATTTACTGCCAACACTATATGTATTAACAGAATACAATCTGGTCATTACTTTTTAGAAACCAATAGTGTATAACAAATCGCCGGCCATCACGTGGTCACTAAATCTGTACTTGTACAATGGGTGATCTAATGAGATCTGTCTGACACATGGCTAACACTTATGTGTCCTCAGTAAATCACCTTGACCTCTAATCCAGCAGTATTCCCCAATGGTTTGTATACCACAATAACTAGTACACTGTACTGTGCTTGTGTTACGGTCTTAATACGTTTTTAAAGCTGATTTGAATAACCACAATATTGAGTGCAAAGTACCAAGGCAATGACACAGGTAATATACACAGTTATCTCACCATAAATTTATCCGATTTACAAGGAAGGCCTTCCAGGATCTTGTAGTCCACTATGAACAGTCGGTTGGTATCAAACACCTGTTTTAGGGACCAACCCTCTAAGAATGGTTTCAGCATGTCTTCTGTCGCGGCAAGACTGAAAAAAGGACATGAATATAATGAATTGTAGTATTATAATAGTTTTTTAGGTCCTCCTGTTTACAATGTCCTTGACCTGTAAAGCGTTCACCTTCACCTATCGCCATTGACTGTTCATGTTGTACTAAGATTGAAATAAAGCGATATCTGGAACCTGAAAAGAGGTGAGATTTCTTAAATTTAGCATTAGTTTTAATTGATTAACCTTCACAATGTCAGCCATTATCAATTAAAGAATTATAAAATAATAAATATCGTTAAATAAAATATGGCATCATTCGGAATATTCTATCCAATCAAAACCATTAAGAATGTAAAAGTAAGTCATTACGATGTTTGTTATTGGTATTTACAGGATTTAATATAAAGAGAAAAGAGACTATAGCTGCTAAGTGTATATGGTGTGTATTATGTAATGCTGTGCAGCCTGTAACACCTTCTATAATATATTGAATTCACTACTCCACTGTATACACATTGATACATTTTTATACAGAAAACCTGTGTTATTAAATATGAAAACCTTCTTATTCTGCTTGAAAATATTGGTCCCAGGAGTCATCTTCAGTTCATACATATTTCACTAAATAGATGCAAAATAATATTGAAATGAATTTTTCTGAATCATGACACGTTATTTGACCTTAGAGAATTATAGATCATGTGCCCCTCCTGATACTGACTGGATATACATGAATACAACAGAAACTCAGAAACTCCAGGGTTGGTCCTCACAGCTGACACTCCATCACACTACCAATCCCATCCCACATCATGTCAGGAATGTCAGATTATAAAAACAGGAGAAACATTTAAGTTTTTACAATGTATGATTTCCCTAACGTTACAACAAACTACTCTCACACGAACAGAACATGTACAGCACATTACCATAACGTATTAATTCCACTTAGAGCCATGTATAATTGATATAATTCTGATGCTTCAAAGAAAAGGATTACAAGCAAAATGTTAATGATGCTACAGCACAGAAGCCGAGGGTATGGTAAATGAGGAAGGGCAACTGTAGCAGATTCCTGTGGGCTCAGAGTTACAAACCAACGTCACATTAACTTACTGGTCATTTCCTTCAAATCTTCTCTTTTATGTATCTAGCTATACTTAAATTCTAGGTTATGGTCATTTTTCTGGTAACTTACATGGAAAAATGCCCCAGGCATTAAGAGGACAATTCAGAGGTAAAAACAGTAACCAAGAAAAATTGAAACTAGTTAAAACCTGAAGCATTCAGTGGATTTTTGGATAGAAATTAAAGTGTTGATTGAGCTTTTAATGTCCATGCAGAATAAAGGAGTGGGATGTGTGCGGTACCAGAGGTATTGATATCTATTTAGCATTAACCCCCACTTACTCTGAGGTAAAGTTCGTTTTCAGGGTGAAGTATTGAACACAGATGGAATCATTTGGAAGAAATGCTCCAAAAATTAAGGTACATGTAGCAGTGACCTAATTTTGACATGTGGCAGTGTATCCTCCTTTCACATACCAACATAATAAGGTTGATGATCTCATATGAAAATGCAAAGGAAACAAGAGGCCCAATGGGCTTGCATCGCTCACCTGGTATTAATTTCACACTTGTAATCTTAAAAGTGGACTAAAATACAGCTACAGGCAGAATATCAGTGTTTGATTAATAAGAACCAATTAAAAGATTTAAACATATGACGCCTGTGACCTTGAATGCTGAACAAGGACATCAGGTTAAACGTGGGTCAAGGTCATTCATTTGAACAAACTTGGTAGCCCTCCCATCCCAGCATGCTACAGGCCCAATTTCAGTACCCTGGGCCTTTTGGTTATTGAGAAGTGGTTTGAAGATTTTAGGACATTTGACCCCTGTCACCTTGAAAGTTTGTCAAGGTTATTCATTTGAACAAACTTGGCAGTCCTTCATCCCAGCATGCTACAGGGTCAATATCAGTACCCTGGGCCTTTTGGTTATTGAGGAGAAGTCGTTTGAAGATTTTAAGACATTTGACCCCTGTGACCTTGAAAGTGGGTCAAGGTCATTCATTTGAACAAGCTTGGTAGCCCTTTATCCCAGCATGCTACAGGCCAAATATCATCAGCCTGGGCCTCTAAGTTATTGAGAAGAAGTTGTTTAAAGTAAAAAGTTGACGCCGGACGGACGCCGGACGGACGCCGGACGCCGCACCATGCCATAAGCTCACTTGGCCCTTCGGGCTAAAAATGGTTTAAAAACAATTTTTCTTTCATTGACATCAGCGGTCAAAATATAGGTCACAGTCACCAAGTCCTAAATGAAATAAGGAGCAAATTACCGCTACTGAGGTTACAAACATTACCAGGATGGTTTCCCTTAGCTGAGGTCAGTTACAGTGGCTACAAACATTACCAGGATAGTTTCCCTTGGCTGAGGTCAGTTACAGTGGTTACAAACAGTTCCATGATAGTTTCCCTTGGCTGAGGTCAGTTACAGTGGTTACAAACATTACCAGGATAGTTTCCCTTGGCTGAGGTCAGTTACAGTGGTTACAAACAGTTCCATGATAGTTTCCCTTGGCTGAGGTCAGTTACAGTGGTTACAAACATCACCAGGATAGTTTCCCTTGGCTGAGGTCAGTTAGGGAAATCCCTGAACAAAACGTTGGTCAGACAGGTAGAAATCCCGAAGATTATCTTAAAATTATTTATTTTTATGAATATTTATCAGCCAAATCCGATCGTTATTTTCCATAAGGAGACTCACTTGATATGTTATGTAGTATTTGAAAAATAAAATATATATATACACTTCACTGTGATGCCCCTTTGATAACTAGACAACCATGATGTACCAATAGTCTCAACAAATGGAGAACACATTGCCCTACTTTCTGGGTTGGATTTTATAATTGAGACGAGCATACCTAAGCGTTAACCTGATTCTGTTTCCACTTTGGATATATTGAGATGATTTTGAAGTGGGCCCCCACTAAGTTTTCATGGCCTGTAGCTTCCAACAATGTCTTGATGTATTACACTGAATGATCTTGTGTTTTAGCCACTACAGCTTACACCATTAATAAATATGATGCTGAGACTCTATCCACAGTCCAGTGATCTTATTTAGCAATCATTAATGTAGGTTGACTTAGGTCTTGTGATTATCAACTGTGTAGGGATTGCGACCTTGCTGAGGTCGGAAGAGGGGAGGGAGGGTGTTGTGTGTTTCAATGAGCCAGAGATCTATGCTGGATAGATACCACCACACATCTAGAGTGGTCGTCTAGAGTGGAGTGGTCGTCTAGAGTGGTCGTTAGAGTGGTCGTCGTTAGAGTGGTCGTTAGAGTGGTCGTTAGAGTGGTCATTAGAGTGGTCATTAGAGTGGATTGGTCATCTAGAGTGGTCGTCTAGAGTGGAGTGGTCGTCTAGAGTGGTCGTCTAGAGTGGTCGTTAGAGTGGTCGTTAGAGTGGTCGTTAGAGTGGTCATTAGAGTGGTCATTAGAGTGGTCGTTAGAGTGGTCATTAGAGTGGTCGTTAGAGTGGAGTGGTCATCTAGAGTGGTCGTTAGAGTGGTCGTTAGAGTGGAGTGGTCATCTAGAGTGGTCATTAGAGTAGTCATTAGAGTGGAGTGGTCATCTAGAGTGGTCGTTTGAGTGGTCATTAGAGTGGTCGCTAGAGTGGTCGTTAGAGTGGTCGTTAGAGTGGTCGTTAGAGTGGTCGTTAGAGTGGTCGTTAGAGTGGTCGTTAGAGTGGTCGTTAGAGTGGTCGTTAGAGTGGTCGTTAGAGTGGTCGTTAGAGTGGTCGTTAGAGTGGTCGTTAGAGTGGTCGTTAGAGTGGTCGTTAGAGTGGTCGTTAGAGTGGTCGTTAGAGTGGTCGTTAGAGTGGTCGTTAGAGTGGTCGTTAGAGTGGTCGTTAGAGTGGTCGTTAGAGTGGTCGTTAGAGTGGTCGTTAGAGTGGTCGTTAGAGTGGTCGTTAGAGTGGTCGTTAGAGTGGTCGTTAGAGTGGTCGTTAGAGTGGTCATTAGAGTGGTCATTAGAGTGGTCGTTAGAGTGGTCATTAGAGTGGTCGTTAGAGTGGAGTGGTCATCTAGAGTGGTCGTTAGAGTGGTCGTTAGAGTGGTCGTTAGAGTGGTCGTTAGAGTGGTCATTAGAGTGGTCATTAGAGTGGTCGTTAGAGTGGTCGTTAGAGTGGTCGTTAGAGTGGTCGTTAGAGTGGTCGTTAGAGTGGTCGTTAGAGTGGTCGTTAGAGTGGTCGTTAGAGTGGTCGTTAGAGTGGTCGTTAGAGTGGTCGTTAGAGTGGTCGTTAGAGTGGTCGTTAGAGTGGTCGTTAGAGTGGTCGTTAGAGTGGTCGTTAGAGTGGTCGTTAGAGTGGTCGTTAGAGTGGTCGTTAGAGTGGTCGTTAGAGTGGTCGTTAGAGTGGTCGTTAGAGTGGTCGTTAGAGTGGTCGTTAGAGTGGTCGTTAGAGTGGTCGTTAGAGTGGTCGTTAGAGTGGTCGTTAGAGTGGTCGTTAGAGTGGTCGTTAGAGTGGTCGTTAGAGTGGTCGTTAGAGTGGTCGTTAGAGTGGTCGTTAGAGTGGTCGTTAGAGTGGTCGTTAGAGTGGTCGTTAGAGTGGTCGTTAGAGTGGTCGTTAGAGTGGTCGTTAGAGTGGTCGTTAGAGTGGTCGTTAGAGTGGTCATTAGAGTGGTCTTTAGAGTGGTCGTTAGAGTGGTCATTAGAGTGGTCGTTAGAGTGGTCGTTAGAGTGGTCGTTAGAGTGGTCGTTAGAGTGGTCGTTAGAGTGGAGTGGTCATCTAGAGTGGTCGTTAGAGTGGTCGTTAGAGTGGAGTGGTCATCTAGAGTGGTCATTAGAGTAGTCATTAGAGTGGAGTGGTCATCTAGAGTGGTCGTTAGAGTGGTCATTAGAGTGGTCGTTAGAGTGGTCGTTAGAGTGGTCATTAGAGTGGTCATTAGAGTGGTCGTTAGAGTGGTCGTTAGAGTGGAATGGTCATCTAGAGTGGTCGTTAGAGTGGTCATTAGAGTGGTCGTTAGAG